AATGTTTTCATGTATATAAGAATAAATTTGTTCTTTAAAAATTCACTTCTCTTCCAAGGTCTATTGGACTGATATTACTATGAAGATAAACCACTTCCTATCTTGATTAAAATTAAAATGGAATCTTAAAAACAGAAAGAAACACATGTGTAGCGGCAAAATCTATAAACCCCTTCTCAATGAATGAACTACCTGCTGTTTCCTAGTCACAGACAACAGACGCTTTGTGAAGACGGGTTGTAAACTAGAAAACAACACAAAATAAAAACCACACACACAGTGCTAAGAGGCACACAAATTTCTCAAATGAAGCACGAACTTGTGGTAAAGCGAGAGTTTGCAGGAGAAAAAGAAAATTTTTTTGAAGTAACAGTTCATCTGGAAAGCCAAATACACTATGGCCCTTGAAGAAATGTTTTGAAAGCGGGGGATCCTCCAAGATAGCTGTATTTCAGTGGCATTAACCGGTAGGAAAAAAAAAAATGATGTGTTTCTTCACAACTAAGATATTAAACTTAGTTAGGAGCAGTGACAGCTCACTTTAGTCATAAGTGGATAAGCTTTTAACAAAAGTTAGCAGTGCGAACTTCAGAGGTTTTGTGTGAAGAGATAAAAGGTGACATACAGCACCCTTCTTCATTTAACATGTTTTTTTTTTCTTTAAAAATATCTGGTAAACACAGAATTCTTTCCAAGTTTGCAGTAGTATTTTAATTCACTTAAGAAGAAAAACTCCACTCATGCCCCTTGAACCAGTTTAAAATTCTAGACTACCTCCTTCTTCTTGTCAATAAACTGAGAAATCTACGAAAAAATAAAGCATAATTATAAGTGCTCTCTCTGGCTGCTACTCTAAGCCTGCTGCTGTAAAGTCAATTCCAACTCATAGCAACCCTATAGGATAGAGCAGAACCGCCCTATAGGGTTTCCAAGGAGCGATTGGTGGATTGGAACTGCTGACCTTTCGGTTAGCAACCGAGCCCTTAACCACTGTGCCATCAGGGCTCCCAGCTGCTACTCTAGTCACCGACTTGTTAGAAGGTTATTTTTTTCCCAATACTAATTGTAAATACACAATCATTATGTAGGCATTTAAACAGCATTTATATTTTCCTACGGTTGATCTATAATTTCTACCAAATCCCTCTAAATTTCTCAATTAAAAATAATTTTAAGAAAATGACTGACTTCACCAACATGTTCCAAAATAAAATATGGTTGAAAATAAAAAAATAGCAAATCAACAGGCAGTTTGGGCCAATTATTTTTTTAAAAAAAGCATTTCCTTTACAACTTCTTTCATAAACTGGATTAATTCTTTTTTTTTTTTTAACTGAATTGACTGAATTAAAGAGATATAGGATGCATGTAGACACAGGCTCTCATAGCAGTAAAAGATGTGAATCAGCATTGGAAAATTTCCTTTTTTTAATGGAAGTCTTCTACTGTTGTCAGTATAAAGTTCTCACCTTGAAAAAAAGAGTTTGTCAATTTTCCTTACACAAAAATAACAGAAAAAAATGAACAAACTCCCATGTTAAACGGCTCATTTCCACTTTAGCCAACAAGAAAATGCAACTTCTTTTCATTCTTAATTTGATATCATTTTAACTACTAGTTGTATTCATTTTGTTTCTTTATTCAGGAAGCAATTCCCATAATTATCCAGGGTGGCTATGAGTATCAATAGTGTTTTTGTTTGTGCCCAAAGTTATCAATTCAATGTCACTTTTAGAGTTTCTTAACCTAAAATCCACAGATTGTTAGTAAATCAGAGGGTAAAATTTCATGTATATGTACCATAACTCTGGTAATTTTTCTGGTAATAAACCATTCCTTTTTGCTACCTATCATCCACGCACCCTGTTTCTGATAACAGTGTCCTATTTCTCTCTGGGATACAATCCCTAGGCCTGGTCCTTGCAAAATGATGAAGCTGATTCTATTCCCTACTCCACAGGTGGTGCACCAGAAAAAAAAACAGACTTTTGATGGAGCTACTGGGAAAAAGATTGCCTTTTTCCTGCTTGATCTGAAGGCTGAGGGGGTATTAGAGTTAAACCAGGGCTACTGTGACCATCTTGCTGCCAAATCAAGTCAGAGATAGAAGTTGTACTAGTGGAAGCTGAGATGGAGAGAAATTGAGTCTTGATTACATTATTCAAGCCCAAAAGTTAGCTCTGTGCTTGGACTTGCCTTATGTGAATAAATATAACACGCACATACACACACACGCGCACACACACACACACGCGCGCGCACACACACACACACACCCCAACACATCTCATTTGCATAGCTGGTTTCTTCTTAAACTTCACTGTTACTGGCTTTCCCTGATCTTTCCTCTCTAATATAAGTTCCTCTCTCTGTACTTCTATTCATCCCACCTGTCTTTAATCGCATTACTTGTTGTCAAAATTATATGTCATATGCTATTTCTTAATTTGGTGTGGAGGAATTTGGTCAATTTGCCAATATTTTTGATCATCCCTTATACAATGCAGGACTATCTTCCAGTTGAAGGGAGGGATGGATGGAGGGAGGGACGGAGGAAGGGAGGGACAAAAGGAGGCAGGCAATCTGATTTTTAAAAACTGAAGTTTCAAATGGAGAGCCCTATAGTAAGATTATTAAGAGTGGAACAAAACAAGATTTTGTTTATACACATACAAGAAAATATATTTTGGCTAAGCAAACATCTTTACCATAGTTTAGGAGGAAAGAATTGTTACACATTCTGATCTCGATTCCAACCAGACTTAGTTGACATAATTATGAGGCCCCTAAAAGTAACTGCTGGGGTTTAGAAACACTTGCTACTTCCCTTGTACTGGCTCTATAACTGCCAAGAGTGAGTATCTTAGATTAAATGAATAGATTAATAAATATCTTTGGAATATATATCATTAAGGCTGACTTATGTTCTATTGCCAGCAGTAATTCAAAGAAATGCCACGCTATTCAAAAAATATTGCATGTTGTTCTCACCACTTTGCCAATGTTATGACACCATATAAGTATGACAATATCTATATTCTTTTGCAGTACTAACTATACACAAAAGCCAACAGATATTAAACCAATTTAAGTTTACACAGGCATCAGCATAGGAACCACTCATATTTATAACTCTGATGGATGGCCTTTCACTTGTAAATTTATAGTATATCAATAATTTCTTTAGGGAACCAAGAGATTCATTCCAAAAATGGTCACAACATTTATCTATGCAAAGATGATGGGTATGGTTTATGATATTAAATGCTTTTAAAAATTACAATCATATTGCCACATTTGCTCATGTTTTAAATTGATCAGAACTATATTCTCAGCAATTATGATGTTTAATCTACATAGCATAGAAATATGCTTATTAAATATGTCCCAATATATTGTGTGGCATCAGTGTCAACTATTGGACATTAGGTAAAATTTCTGTTATCAAATTTCTTATTTTGTTTTCTAGTTCTACTACTCTATATTAAACTATAAATATGCATTGTGATATGATGTTTATTGTTATTTATATTTACTGCAGTTAGTAAATTTAATTTTTAAGAATTGCCAGCAGCATACTGTACAATTTATTATACGCATAAGCTATTATAAGCTTTTATAATTTTTATCATGCCTCAAATAAAATATATAATTTGCCAAAAATCAATATGAACTAAACAAGAAGAGCTATTTTATCCCAATATAAACTTTGCTCAACTGGAGAAATAGGATGAGGTGGAAGAAAATGAAAGATAACAATTATTAAAATAACCTAAGGAATCTAAAAAAGATTGAACCTGACAGAGCTGATTTTTTGATTTAGTACATGCACAACAATTTCCAGATTATCAACTCTCTTTAGCTTTAGCTCATTCTGTCAAAAAAAAAAATTCCAATGCTTACAAAATCTGTGTGCAAGTATTTCTTATATATTGAACTGTCTCTGTTTTGCATAAAACAAGCATACTATTAAAAAAATGAAATAAGCATTTTACATACCCCAGTGGATCGCTAGCTCCTTTTGGGCAGGAACATATTCTTCATCATCTTTGGGTCACCAGTGGCCAGCACAGCACCTGGATATAATGCACACCCCATAAATGCCATTGAATTAGTTAAATGATACAGTGCTGATTAGAACCCATTTGGAAGGTATGAATTCAATGAAATAACCATTCTATATAGTATTAACCTCTTCCTCAACATCTTACATTGTTAAAGTAAAGGTGCACATTCTTATAAATGTGAATGACAACTTTATTCTAAGAACTTAATCTTCAAGCATAATTGCTTCTAAATGCTTATCAACATTATATATTCTTATTGTTTTTTGGTTTTGGTAGAGGCAATACAGTGAAGTGTTTGAGATTATGTGCTTCAGAATTAGGCTGATGCAGGTCCAAATCCTGGTTCCATCATTTACTATTTACATGGTCTTGGATAAATAACTTAATCTCTCTAAATCTCAGCTTGTCTGTAAAATGGGGATAATTATAGTATTCTTCTAATGAGGTTGTTCAAAGCATGAAAGGAGACAGTGCTTAGCCCACTGCCTGACACACAGTACACATTCAGTAAGTGATAACTATTATTTCCTCTTTCCTTTCTTCCTCTTCCTTCTTTAAAACTTTGAAACATAGCTGACCTTACCACTTTAAGTGAGATCAAGCATCTCACCATTAAAACTCACTTTGAGTTGATGGTGTTTATGTACAGATTGTAAAACACTGTTTTATTTTCCTTTGCACAAATGATAAAACAAAAGTCCCCCATTCCTAGAAATAGAAATGTTTTGTTTGTAATGTAAATGGAAGTAAATTTAGAAGTGAATGAGTCACACACAAGTAAAATCATTAAAGATTAGTTAAGAGTAGATCAAGGCCAGATGTTAGAAAATTAACTTTTATTAAAAGATGCACTGGTTTTCAAACAAAATATTAATTAAATCATACACTTCTTGTGTTTCTCCTATGTGCTTACGTCACTCTAGACAAAAGGCTCTTTATCACCCTGTTTAAAACAAATGAAACTTTTATGAATAAGTTTCATAGGCAGAATTCTAAAATAACTCTCAAGATCCAAACCCCTACCCTACTGGTGAATATGCTGTGCTTCATTCCTGAGATTGTGAATACAGTGGATTTTATCCCCATGAGTAGGTCATGTTCTATGGCACAGTTGATTTTAAGAAAGGGAGATTATCTGGGTGGGCCTGATCTAATCAAATGAGCCCTTGAAATCTTGGTCTAGAAATCAGAGACAGAGAAGCCACAGATTGAAGCATGAAAAGGATTCGACACACCATTGCTGTCTTCCATATGGAGAGGCCCAGCTGGCAAGGAATATGGGAAGCCTCTTGGAGCTGAGAGTGGCCCCCAGCTGACAGGCAGCAAGGAAGCAGAGACCTCAGTCCTACAGCCACAAGGAACTGAATTCCACCAACAGTAAGAATGAGCTTGGAAGTAGAGCTTCCTTCAGACTCTCCAGACAGTAACTCAGCCCAGCAGATCTAAATTTCAGCCCTGTGACGTCCTGTACCAGGAACCCAATCAGGCTGTGCTGAACTTCTGACCTATAGAGCAAATATGTGGGTGCTGTTTTAAACTACTAAGTTTGTGGTAATGTGTTACATACCAATAGGACACTAGGACACATATGGGACATAGGATTCTACATGTCTTTTACTGCTCTCTCTCCAGTCTTCTACTCTCAAAACAAGAATCAGTTATATAGAGCATATTGTATGAACCATATAGGTCCCAGGTTACCATTGCAGGGACTGAAAATTGTTGATCCAAGACTGAATTAAGTCATATAAAACATGGTGCTATGTTGTAATTATTGCCTGTACAACAAATCATTTGCAAAATTCAACTCTCTGTCTCCTATATGATGATGAAGAGGCAACTGTAAATACTCAATGAATTACCTCCAACTTTTAATAGGCCATTTTAGAGGGATGGAAATAGACAGTAATTGTGACTTCTCTAGGCAAACCTGGGAAACTACGTTATGTTTAGTGCAGAGTACACAGATTCCCTAAGTGTCTAGAAGGATGAGGGTTGGGAATAAGTTAAAAAAAACTCTCCCAGGAGTCTTCATAGAAAATACTATTACAATTACTCTCTACATCATCCCCTTTTTATTCATTTTCTGTAATGCTGCCATATTATCTTTTATAAAACAAATCTTATCATGTCGTGTCCCCGCTCAAAATGGCCAATGTGACTATTCTTTAAGATAAAGCCATCCATTCACTGATGTACTAAATATTTGAGTGTGTACAGTATGCTAACCACTGTGCTAGTTGACAGGGACACATGATGAGTGACAGACAAGGTCCCATTCTTCACTGAGCATTGCTCTTTCAAAATGTACTTCTAATTTTGTTCAACTGGAAGACTTTGATGAACCTTTAAGCCCTATCTCAGGCCTGAACTCCTCTGGGAAGCCCTCCTCAACCCTTCCATGCAAAATTAGGCACCTCTTCTCTGTGCTCTCAGAGAAACCTGTGCCCAGTCATATAATAAAATTTATTGCATACATTAAAATTGCATTGGTGTGTCTTCCATAAACAGACCACAGGAGAAAATACATACAAAACTCTCTAGAAGAAAGTAGAGGTCTAGGCAGATTCTCCACCTAAAATCAAACAAACATTTTCATCCACAGATTAGAAGAATATTTAGTGCAACCTCTCATGCTTTGGTGGGGGGGGGGTCAGTAGAATAGAATATTGGTATTTTAAATAAATAAATGTATGTTGTTGTTGTCGCTAGGTGCCATCGAGTCGGTTCCAACTCAGTGACCCCATGTACAACAGAGAGAAACACTGCCTGGTCCTGCGCCATCCTCGCATTCATTGCTATGTCTGAGCCCATTGTTGCAGCCACTCTGTCAGTCCATCTTCTTGAGGGTCTTCCTCTTTTTCTCTGACCCTCTGCTTTACCAAGCATGAAGTCCTTCTCCAGGGACTCGTCCCTCCTGATAACATGTCCAAAGTAGGTGAGACAAACTCTCGCCATCCTCGCTTCTAAGGAGCATTCTGGCTGTACTTTTTCCCAGACATGAGTATACATGTATACTCATTTTTAATACATAAACAACTTGAAAATCAAAGGTAAGCACAATATTTTTGATAACTGTAAACTTACATGTGATCATATATGGTATTTAAAAATAATTTTCCAAGCTCTCAAACATTTAAATAATTAACATAAAATGTTAGTAATATTCTTTGACAATTTATTAGTCTGCTGTAGAAAATTTCTATTACTTATTTAAATACAAGCCAAAAGATATGGTTCTTGGAAATAAGTTTGCTGCTAAAATAACAAAAGGGAATGAAATGCTATATTTCTGTAATTTATATAGCTTGACAAATTAAGATTTCCTAGGAACATCACCACTCAAGTTCAAAATTGGTTATTTTTCATTCTGATAGTTCAGAGATTCACAGCAATTTGATGACTTTGATAAAATCATTTTTTCTTAGACTGACAAGTGGGTTGAACTCTAGGTTTTATTTATACCACTAAAATAACTAGATCATTAAACCAAGACTAAATGAGTATTGTGATTATTTACTTTTTAAAACTAATGCGATCACCACCTGTAACAGAGATATTACTTTATGAAATATTTTCAGATTCATTTTCATATCTTTTAGATCTTGTTGCTTTGCTGTCCTCACCCCCTGGATCAATGGCTTTATGCTTTCAGGAGGAGGTCACTACTATCTGGAACGAAGGGGTCATTGATCAGCTTTGAGTTTCAGAGCTAGCCTTCTGGAAACCTTAGTAAGACAACAATCTTGAATGAGAGAATTTGAGAGCGAAAAGCAGTTTGAAGATTTCCAAAACACTCCCTGTTCCCAAACAAAAGAAAAATGTGGAGCCTAAACAAATAGGACCAGTAGCAGAACCACTATGTGCGAATTGATTCCAACTCACAGGAACCTCATAGGACAGAGTAGAACTGCCTCATAGGGTTTCTAAGGAGCAGCTGGTGGATTCAGTCGACCTTTTGGTTAGCAGCCAAGCTCTTAATCACTGAGCCACCAGGGCTCCATATGTGCTTAAGGAGGAAGAAAAGGGAATTTGAGGGCAAGGAAAAAGGCAGAGATAGGGTGATGAGCTGGAGGCAGTGCCCAGGTTTTCTTAGTATCTTGGTATTTAACCTCCAAGGGGATGAGGGGCAGTAGAATATGCAGCTGGATAAGGAGAATTCTTTGGGGAACAATGAACTGAGTCTTCTTTTATGAACACTACTTGGGAGAAGGCTACAGATTTTCCAGGGAATCTGTTTTTAGCACTACATCCATCTAACCTGGTGAGGGAGAGAAAAAAAGTTAAAAAGTTGGTAAAGGAAGGTGTCTAGATAGCACGAGATAAAACTGGTTATTGCCCAGAGATTGTGTGGCGCAGGAGTTAAATGCTCAGCTGCTAACCAAAAGGTAGCAGTTCGAACC